TATATATATATATATATATATGAGGTGTTCATTTTAATTTAAACATTAATATATCGAGAATGAGACGTGGGATAGAAAAGAATTTCAGACTAAAGTTATGTGACCCCTGGTGGAAAAATTTCCCTGAAATTATTTCACATTTTGGAGCACTTTTCAGCAAAATTTCAGCATTTCAGAAAATTTTCAGTTTAATTTCAACGATTTTTAGCTGGAAAATCCATTTTCAGCTAAATTTTAGTAAAATTTCAGAAAAATTTCAGTGAAATTTCAGAGAAATTTCAGTTTAATTTCAGCGATTTTCAGTATGTTAGCTGAAAAATTCATTTTCAGTGAAATTTTAGTAAAATTTCGGCAATTTCGCTGAAATGTTTCAAAACGTGGAATAATTTTAGCGAAATTTTTTTCACCAGAGATATCGAGGGGAACATAAGATGGTATCATTGGTTTGACCATGGGTGGCGTTGTCAAGATCAGTAGCGGGATTTTCTAATGCTCATTTCCACCAACGTAGAGTAACTTTAATCTCGATTCAACTTACTCTTCGTCTTTTTCTAATCTTTAGAACTAGAAAAAGACGAAAAGTAAGTTGAACCGAGATTAAAGTTAATCTACATTGGTCTAAACGTCTAAACGTCTTATCGACAATTGTTGCTATCGTTAACTAGCGATAGCCAATGGCAAGACAATCCTGGAAGAAAGCGCGGCTCTTATTGGCTATCGTTAATTAACGATAGCGACAATTGTCGATAAAACGTTTAGAGAATTCTGCAACAGGGCAAGGTCTCACTTTAAATTATAAATTAAAATTTAAACGCTTGTTATGTTTTAAATAATGACAGTAACGGTAATATACAGTTTAAAGGTGACAATTTTATTAATATAAAGTTATTTCATATACTATTCGAAACGTTTCGACTCATACAGTAGTCCTCCTCAGTTGTTACAGACATTAAATCATAGAAACAAATTAAATTAAAAATAAAACTAAAGAGTATCGCTGTCAGTTAAAAAAGTACCGCATGGTGTATAACACATAGTGCAATGTAGTCAAAAGGAGTCATGATTTAATCCAATACTGTCGCAAGGAGTCATGATACAATTGCAACAGTATTGGATTAAATCATGACTCCTTTTGACTACATTGCACTATGTGTTATACACCATGCGGTACTTTTTTAACTGACAGCGATACTCTTTAGTTTTATTTTTAATTTAATTTGTTTCTATGATTTAATGTCTGCAATGACTGAGGAGGACTACTGTATGAGTCGAAACGTTTCGAATAGTATATGAAACAACTTATATTAATAAAATTTTCACCTTTTTAAACTTGTATATTACCGTTACTGTCACTTTAAATTTTTTAAATAGAACCCCCATTTTTCATTACATATTTTTGTGTCTTATCTCGAGAGCTTTTCAAAACATTCTAATAAAATATTTTCTCGTAAAGTACTTTGTGAGTTATAAGATTAAAGAAAATTACAATATCGCCGGCATTACCATTATTCAAGGTGTCCGTTTGAAAGATTTTAGTTGGTTAAACATCTTGAGTAATGCTAATGTCGACAATATTATAATTTCAAGCTTTATAACTCGAAAAGTGTTTTACAAAAAATATTTTATTATAACTTTTTGAAAAGCTCTCGAGGTAAACCAAGAATATGTAATAAAAAATGGGAAGTTCCACTTAAAAAATTCAAAATCTTGCCTTGACCTTGGCAACGCCACTCAAGGTCAAACCAATGGTATCATCTCATGTCCCTCTCGATGTCATGTAACTTTTGTCTGTAACTTTTCTCAATCTCATGTCACATTCTCGAGATATATTAGTGTATCAATTAAAATGAAACACCCCGTACTAACATATACTACACGGAGAGAATTTTCTCTTAGAATTTAGCCTGAAAATCATGATAATAGTGGGACAACATAGTATTTCAAAGAATTGTATATGAATTTCTTTAATTTACTAATATGTGTCATAATAAGATATGTAATATATTTTATTAATTTTACTAAAGGGTATAGTAAAATTTAAACATTTTAAAATATGTTACGCAGTTTATGATTATTTATTATTTTAAAAGAATAGATGCTAAGTAGTCATGAATATATAAAATAGCTTATACAATTTTTACCATACAGCATGATATTTTTAATCTGATTTAGTCGCTAATAATTTTACCATGTAACATAGTAATTGATCGACTGTAATCGATATTTATCGGTTATTTTCGTTGTCAAGTGTCTAGCTACGCTAGAACTTACTCACTTCAAAACATTTTACAATTTGCATTATAATTTTTACTACATCATTTATAAAAAGTCTCTTGTATATTTCAAAAAATCTATCGTTACGGATAATATTTCATTACTGTCAAGTTGTCCCAAGCTTATTACCAAACATGATGAAATTTGTAATGAATTTTGCGGTAAAAAATAACGAAAAATTCTCTCCGTGTA